CTTGCCTGCGTTAAGATTCAAATGGTGGTGGTGGAAAATATGGATAAAGGTTCACCGGCAGTCAAGAGTCTGGTGGTATGAAATACCCGCCATCGGAAAGCCCAATAGATGCATCATCTTGTTCGACCCCAGTACGGGACAGTCAGTGTAGCAGTAGTTGCTCACAGCCGTCGTCACAGCAACAGCTATTCTAATCGCCGCATCCATCACCACATTTGTCCTCACCGGCAGGTGGTAGTTTACCGCCTGGAATATATCCCCCAAATTTGGTATCACTTCATGGACTGTCATCGCATGGCCAGTTAAATTATAGTCTGCACCTGGTGCATCTGGTTCACCCAGTTCAATGCATTATGCACATGAATGCCTTTTGGATAGTATCTAGTAAGGATTCCCTTAGGAATGCGGAAAGATGACAATAATCTGAGAAATTTTTCTGAAAAAATACAAAATCGGTATCTATTGGATGTTGCAAAAAAAGTGTAAATATATTCTCCATATTTGATGTATTAGGTAGTAAAGAAAGTCCAGATTTAGTGACAACTTGTAAATAGAAGACACCTCTTGCAAGACTAACTTGGGCGAGGGCTTCAACAGGCTTGGGCGGCCGAAAGAGTTTGAAGATGAGGAGCATAAAGCATTGCTCAGTGAAAAGTTTTGCCAAAAACAAGAAGAGCTCGCAGAATCTATAGTCGGTTATTTTAAAACGCTTCAAAGTAGCCGGATACATTCAAAATCTAGGAATTTGGTTGTCATATGAATGAAGAGAATATCAAAAGCAAAGGATGACTACTCCTCATGGATCTGGTATCTGCACTCCATCTGGTATCCAGATTAACCTAACCTAACCTAACCTATTTACGCAATTTGACTGATATAAAAAATGGGTTTATTACGAAAACCCTATATGCACAAATTCTATTTGATACGTGCCTGACCAGAAAAACGCCAAAGTTATACTCTATTTTTGGCGGGATCAGAACCATGTATGATATTCAAAAATTGGCTGGAAACATTTATGGGGAAGTCTACCGACAATAACTACTCAAATTGAAGCGAGCGATTGTCGAAGAGCACCTGAAAGGTGCGACACGAGGCAATAATATTCCATAGTAAAGACGCTTGGCCTCATATTGCACAACCGATTAAAACTTCACCTTCCCAGAATATAGAATACTCACACTAGAACAGAACCCTCGCAGTTCTTTAGGATAGAATCAACACAATGCCAGAAATTCGGAAAGCAATTTATAGCTTCAGTTGAGCAATACTATTACCGCGTAAACGGTGTCAACGTCAATAAGAAAGGTGAAGAATACTTGCTAAATACGAAATCGATTGGATCCACATATAAGACGTTGAGGCTTCAGAAACCTCAGTATTTACAAGGATACCGTCACGAGTTTGTTCTAGATAAATATGTTTAGCAAAAGGTCTAGTGAGTTTCCTACCTTAGGTACGTCTCTAAGCAGTTATAGAGTTTCTAGCCGTTGATTGTATTGACTTCTGTGAGCAAGTGAAACATTTTGCCGATGACCACTGTCGTAGTAGTTTGTAAAACGGCCAATTTTGCTTTGTGAATTTTGAAGTGCTTTTGCTCTCACTTCTGTGGCCAACCATAGCATACTGGTATCGAAGCTAATCGCCAAGAAGATTCGTAATGGTTTAAGATATTTCGTCGAAATGTGAAGGTTTATTGAAGCTGTCTGTAATTGTTTCGATGGGGAATCAATCACAAAATCTAACCTTCTAACCAACAACAAATGCCATCATCGATTTTAAAAATGGAATAGTCACCTCACCTTCTTATGTCCCCCATCAAGTCAAGTTGTGACCTACATGTTGCTAAAATTTCAAGTACTATGCGCATTTTAGGCATCTAAAGCTAACCTCTAAAAGTTCCGTTTTCATTTGTCATTGAGAAAAATGCACATGCGCCTGTTTTTGCAATATTTGCCGTGCGTATTTGCACAAGTATTAGTAGCACAAGTATGCACGTAGCTCGTAGCTGTCATTGTCAAAGTTGTCTGCTGTATTTTTTATTGTCAATAGAAAGCACTCAACAACACAGCAACAACACTTCGACAAACTATCTAATTTTCCATCGAACACTCACTGCCAAAACCAAATAAGCCTAGTACCGACCATCCGGCAACAAATGAATGTGTGCAGCGTCGCGTTTATGTGCGATGCGCGAGTGATGCGTTGATGTCGTGTTTAACGCGCATGCGTAAAGAAATTCATGTCGTCTTTAGGAATACATATGTATGTATATATGTAAGTGAAGTGTAAGTGTGGGTCTGTTTGATTTTCGCAGTAAACAAGCTGCAAACGGTATAATTGTACGATTGCTGGCACAGCAGCCATTCATGTAAAACGGCGCTTTTCCCTGTTGGCAATGTATGTCAGTGTGTCCGTGTGTGTGTGTTTGAGCGTATGCACTTGTGCACGCATGCGCCGGCAAAGAAATCCATAACATGATAGCTCCGGTAGTTTATACCGCTAGTCTGCGCATCTTACTTACACGCCTGCCACAGTATCGGCATATTCCGTGATGCTCTTTTGTATGGACTTATATGAGTATATATGTATGTTTTGGATTAATTTTTATACCCTTAAGGAATCAAAGAAAAATAATGAACAGTTGAAGATCTAAAAAATATACATATATACTAATGATCACCGCGACGGCCGGGGTCTATTTAGCAATGTCCGTCTGTCTCACTGATTATGCTAAATAGTCTGACAGTTTTTGAGTTATCAATCTGAAAATTTTCCCATGTTCCTTTCTTCCCAAGATACTGTTTATTTGTCAGAACCGCCGCGATCGGACCACTATAACATAAAGTTGTCATATAAACTGATTCAACAAATTTAAGGGCTTGTTGGGAGAACTTTTTTGTTTGACGAGATATTTTTCTAAAATTCGACATAGAGGATACCCCAATACAATGCTATAGTTTCCGAACAATTTTTTTGATGACTGCTGACTATAACATATAGTTGCCATACAAACGGAACGATCGGAATCAAGTTCTTCTAAGGAAAACTTTTTCATTTGATGAGATATCTTCATCAAATTTGGCAAGTATTATTGACCAATACAACAGTAAAATCTCCGCAAAAATTGTTGATATCGGACGACTTTAACGTAAAGCTGCCATACAAACTGTATGACCAAATCAAGTACTTGAAAGGAAGCTCCTATATTTCTGCACGGTATTATAGCATCAGTGCAAGCAAAGTTAATCTTTTTTTTCTCTTTTTTCTATAAAAGTGCGGCAGCTTCATTCCTTATATGGTTTGGTGATATTTTAGTTGCTATATAAATATGTACAAATATACTCTCATATTGCTATAAATGCATTTCTCTAGCTACACGCATACATATATATATCATATAAGTATATGTTGCATGCAATCGTTGGTGGTGGTTGTTGATGATGATGGATTGCTGCTCATCAGCAATAACCAACAATAACCGACGATAACGTATCATCAACTAGTTTGTCTTGCTGATGAATTGTCACCATTAAAGCAGAAGAAATTCTACCAACAACTTTGCGGCACGGAAAATCGTCAAGTCCATGACCAATAAAAGAAAATGCACAGCAAAAGCTAGACAAAAGGAAAGCAAAACCTTAAAAAGTATGCAGCCAAGCCAGAAATAGATTTGCACAGAAAGTCATAGCTGTAAATGCATAGATATCTATGTAGATATGAATAATCTATGCGCAAATGGCTTCGTGGCACGTTTTTTATCTAAAAATATCACCAACCACTGACACGTTTTCTAGCCTTGAACTCATTCTATCACTTGGCCCGTTATGGCACTGTTTCAGTGGCATTGCTGCGTCTACTAAGAACAGGTGTCATCATCGTTTGCTGGAAGTGATTGTGTTGGGAAAAGCGAAATTGGTGCACTTTTTCCTTGCGTGTCACACATATGAAGTACTCCCGTTAATTGATACTACATTTATGCTTCGTAGTGTGTGATTGGAGCAACCCATTATGGTCTTATGCAATTAGGTGCGTCTTCAGTGAGTACGCGCACTTGGTAATTGGAACATTTGAAATCCGTTGGAGCTTTGCGGATCTCTTGATTGTGAATGCTTACGCATATTTATGGTTGATTGATCTGATTTGATTTAGATTTGACATTGACAAGTTCTGTTTGTAGCAATTGGTGTAAATAGAGAGACAAAACAGTTATGGCAAGCGGATAATGGATCTATTGGTATTTTTTGTAAAATCGTATGTGCTTTACATGCTCGACTAGTTGAAAATAGTAAGTCTCAAAGGTTCAAAACTGTATAGATAAGTTAACGGGTTTTTGAGATCTTTCTCAAAATAGTACTAAACAAGCGGGTGGCATCGAGATCGCCCGAAATTGGGGAACGTGTGTTCAAAGGGCGATGAGAATGGCTTCGAGAGGAGTAAGATTTAACAGATAACTTCCTATTTTCCCCCAAATTTTGACGTGTACAAGAAAATAACTTCGAATGTGTAAAGGTAATTATTCTCAGATGCTATAGAGATCCTTTGGAAAATAATACTAAATAAGTCGCTAGTATCGGGATCGCTCGAAATTGGAGTCAGTAGATTCTAAAGCTTTCTGTTATAGGTTAAAGTAGCCCGCTCCTCGTGAAACCAAAGGGTTGAGAACCGTACAAAATAGCATCGAGTAGTGTTATAGAAAGAAATCAAGACTAAAAGCTCAAAAATGAAAGTCAGAGCTCATGTACTTTATTGACCGAACTAGGCACCCTTTGGTTTATTCCTCTTTCTATATACATATAGTAGAATTATTTTACTTTAAGACACGGTTGAAACTGTTGAAAGATTTAAATGATCTAATGAAATACCTGAATTTCTAAATAACCTTTATAGGCATTGAAGCTAGAAACATATATCTGAATATATAATTTTTTCTAATTTCATATCTTAAAAAGTCTTCAAATAGCCATGTAACTGATTCTTTATTATCTGAAACATTGCAGATCACTCTTGCAGATGATGTGGACGTAGTCAAAGCCATCAGTGGTACAGAGGAAATTTCCGAGCATGACAACGAGGTCGATCAGGTGGCGCTAGAATCGGAATCGGAGCCACAACAACCACCAAAGGTGCTCTATCAGCATAACATTCAACAACAACAACCTGGGCCAGGACCAGCACGTAGTAAGTTCAATTATGTTCTCAGTAAAAAATGTATTGAAATATTTTTCTAATTGCGGCTTTAGGCAATCATCAAAGCATTCCACTCAGTCTGGGRCAACCTTTCGGTCCACCACCACCACCCGCACAGTTGGCTTATCAAGGCCCACCGCCGCCATTACCACCACAACGGCCGCCACCACAGCAAGTGCACGCGCAACAAGTACTGCCCGATTTGAGCGTTGGCGCGTCAAGCAATAACGAGATCTGGTCGTCGCCGGTGCAGGACATGCCGAAAATAATCTCACTGGATGTCAAGTGCGAGAAGAATGGCATGAAAGTATTTGTGAAATTCGATAAACCATTCTATGGTATTGTCTTCTCGAAAGGACACTATAGTAATATGAATTGCGTGCATTTGCCATCGGGACTGGGACGCACTTCGGCCACTTTTGACATCGGGCTGCATGAGTGCGGTACATCGGGAAATACTGAGAATGGTTTGTATGGTTATGGACATGAATCTGGTTCGGGCACCTACTTTGAGAATATTATTGTCATACAATACGATCCGCAAGTCCAGGAGGTGTGGGATCAAGCGCGTAAGCTACGTTGCACATGGCATGATCAGTATGAGAAAAGCGTGACATTCCGGCCATTCCCCGTAGATATGTTAGATGTGGTACGCGCAGATTTCGCTGGCGATAATGTAGGTTGTTGGATGCAGATACAAGTGGGTAAAGGACCATGGGCCTCAGAGGTTTCGGGCTTGGTGAAGATTGGACAAACTATGACTATGGTGTTGGCTATCAAGGATGATGATTCCAAATTCGATATGCTTGTGCGCAATTGTGTGGCGCATGATGGTAAACGTGCACCCATACAATTGGTCGATCAACGTGGTTGTGTCACCAGGCCGAAATTAATGTCGCGCTTTACGAAAATTAAGAATTTCGGCGCATCAGCGTCTGTGCTCTCCTATGCACACTTCCAAGCATTCAAATTCCCGGACTCTATGGAGGTACACTTCCAGTGCACAATACAAATCTGTCGTTACCAATGCCCCGACCAGTGTTCTGACCCCAATCTGCAAGAGGTGCATCATCTACAAGTCGGACCAGAGTCACAATATGGTCCACCGCCACCACAATTGCACGTCGACACTTATCATGTGAGCAGCGGCATCGGAAAGCGACGTGACGAGCGACGTGTGCAACGTCGTACACGTGCCGTTGATTCCGAACCGGAAGTAGGTCTCAATCGTATCATTAAAGTCGTGTCTTCGGGTGATCTCACCTTTGCCATTGACGATCAGACGAATGGCACAACCGTGGCTACACCACAAACCATGGTCTTCCCAGCACGCGAAGATGGTCTAATTTGTATGACAACGCCTGGTTTCGCGATCACTTTGATTATACTGCTTGGTATACTCGTAACCTCTTGTCTCATATCAGCCGTACTTTATATACGTTTGCGGCCGTTCTCATCCTTTGCTCATTCAGAGAAAGAGCGTGCAGTGGCTTATACGAATCCGCAATTAACTGGCGCTATGCCGGTCATACAAATACCAGGACCTCCAAGTATCAGTCAGGGTACTCTGACTAAGGCACGAACGCATACATGAACTACGAAAAGTGAAAAAACAAAGCGAATACACCGAAATACGAATTGGACTCGGCAAAACGAGGCGTCTTTATCACACACATACAAATATTAGTGCGCGCGAACAGCATAGCTATATTTAGATCTGATCCGATGCGAACTGATTGTGCGCTGCATCGATTGGACTACAAACAACACATTCACGATAGTCTTCTTTCGTTTGCAAATGCCTCTGGGGCAGATTGTTAGTTGAGGTATGCAATTGTGGTCTTCGGACTACAACATATAAGACCTAGGGTAAAGTAATTTTAGTCTTATTTAATATTTATTTTCTATCGTTTTTATAAAGTTTAATTATTCGACGGTTCAAAAGTTACGAATCAGAATATTTGTTGTTAAAATTGATAATTTTCGACGAGCCTTTCGAGTCTGTTTGGGGCCTCTGTATTGGTGGCAGTCTAGTGCGTACAATTTTAGTTTTTTTTATAAGAAATATAGAAGTAAAGCTAAGTTTTTAGGTATTCTTAAGTAATTTATTGAGTTGAAGAACATAAAGATGTGTACAATAAAACAAAAATCGGTGCTAAGCCATATTCAAAGTTCAAATGCATCCAAGCGACCTTTGTACAAAGGCTATATTGATTCGTAGTACGCCAAGCTTATGCTCTATAGTAATTCTATCTATAGATTGATAGCAGAATAAATGGTAAATATATTCTAAATTACGGTCTATTGTCAGAATAGTAATTCAGCGCAACTAACGTTAATTCGAATTAAGTTAACAAAACATTATCCCATATATAGACAAATTCAGCGTATTAAAATTTATTCAGCGCATGTAAAAAATGCTGGGATGTGAATTCAGCTACAAGATTTTTCGATTTAGTTCTATTAAATCTGATTCAGCTCCCTTTAAATTAATGTGTGGCTAACGTTAACTTTAACGAATTCAGCAAGTCATGACCACATGTGTAGACAAATTCAGCGTCTTAAAATTTATTCAGCGCATGTAAAAAACATGGTTTTTCTATTCAGTTCTTTTAAATCTAATTCAGCATACTTTTAGATTATACACAAGTTGTGTGTTAGTTATCATTATGTGCTATGTGTTTAAAATTACGATGAATTGTCAGAATAGTAACTAAGCGTGGCTACAGTTAACTTTAACAAATTAAGCAATACATTATCACATGTATAGACAAATTCAGCGCCTTAAGACGTATGCAACGCATGTTAAATATGTAAAAGTGTGAATTTAGCAACACTATCTTTCTATTTAGCATTGCTAAACCGAATTCAGCGCTTTCTTAATAACTTGAACATCATACAAACATTGTGAAAGTTAATTTACTCAGAGTCTGAGTTCTGTCATTTAACGTATATGCAGTTTCATAAAATCATTTTCTTATTAATTTACATCACTAAAAGTACATTCAGCCAAAAAGTTTTACATAAGGTTTTGCTGTAGCAAATTCAGCACATATTTCAACTACTCAGACTACAATTGTTAATTGAAATAGTTTTCATTTGGGTCACTTTTCAAGGTATGTTTTAGAAATGGGTTAGTTTTTCTTAATTCAGCTATTCAGCGTAGCAATGAATTCAGAAAATATTATATATATTTATATTTTGTAATGTACTGCTAGAAATATGAGCATAATATATGCAGAAAATTTATTCAGCTTAATGTTTTTAGTTCACTTTGCTTTATTCAGCACTTTTTGTTAACAGTAAAATYAAATAATATAATATAATTTCTGCTTTGTACTTGGTACTCGTACAACATCATTTACCTCTTTTATATACCATAATGCTTTACTTTGTCTACTATATTGTTTTTTTTATAGATTTTTAAAGAATAACAAAATCAAATAAAATACCGTTAAATAAAAGGAAACAAATAAGAAATAGTAACCACACAACAAAAAACACAAGAAAACAAAACATTTACAAAGTTATTAAATAGCGTAATTAAACTTAAATGCAAGCTTGAATTAGTCACTAAATATTTTAAGTGCGTTCATTAGTTGTAAGCACTAAAATATATTATAAATTACAAATAATGAATTAATAACGAATATGAAACATAGACTAAATTGTAAA